CGATATGGATCTTAGTTGGACGCAAAAGCGTGCAATAAATAACACAAAATAATACATTACAAAAAATAAAATACCAAGATTGATTCACTACACGTACAATATAGTGCATGCCTGGGTGGAGTGGTGGCACAGTGGTTACGCACTGCGCTGTAAACATGGGCATCCGAGTTCAAATGCAGATTGATATCTGAACCTGTTCTTGGGCTCCCCCTCCCTTGACCATGCCGCGCTGACCAGCGTGGTGACTTATGGTTAAACAGCTTACTAATCATAACAATGAACTGATTACTAATATATTAAAGAAAGACAAAAACTCCCTCCGCCTCTGATCTCTGCACCTGATTGGGTTAAATGATGACGTTACCCTGCTGCTCTATTGAAGACCGGGAGCAGGTGGAGGGCTTCACTATTCTGGAAAATCGCCCGATGATGCTGGATGTAATTACCAGCGAAACGTCGTACTCAAAAATTGTAAATGTTGTGGATTCACTCTTCAACACACCGGTGCGCTAAAGTAGTGAACTATTTGTCTTTTGTCATCGTGACACATTTTTTACTGATTGACCGTGTCGGGTGGTGGAGGGTTGCAACATTTATAATTAATGCGATCTAACCCAAAAACCTTTATTATAAACAGCTCCTATTGCCGCCACGGCATAAGGTCTTCATCCAGCAGTATATCAAGAGGTCTGTAGGCTAATATGCTTAAGTAGCTACTGTGTGCAAGTAAAAATGGCAGTGGAGTTACCAGACCTTTCAAATGTGTTGTCTGTTGAAGGACAACACTTGGTCGTTGATAGGTGCACATTTTCATGTCATTCATTTCCTCACGAATGCATTAAAAATGAACTCTGGCAGCATTCAGTGCACTATGTTGGATCAGAGAACTGCCAATAAAGATGTTTAAGAAATTCTTAAATAGCCCACGTCTTGCGTACTTTGGGCACCATTTACATGCCCCGCAAAGATTATCTTGCATACCAATCACAGCTTCGGATGCGTTCCGTTCCTTGGCTGCCACTCCGTAAATATTCTTGAACATCAGCTTGCAATTGTTACTCTTGGTGATGCCGATTAATCGAAGTGTTGTTTCAAACTTGGCGTGATGTCGCTAACCTTCGTGTGCCTGATGACCGCCACCTACACCACATGGCATGCACGCGTATGCGCTTGTGTTTTCCGCGCTGCAAGGTTGGGGTGGGGATGGGGCACAGAGGGTCCGATAATGCACTTCAGAGGTTACGCCAGGACTATGTTCCGATCGGCCGGGGCTAATCCACTTTTATCCCCTTCTTCTTAAGGGATCCTTGATCCGTGCCTCAACAGATGCGGTCGCGTCCTGGTAATGTTCCAGGTAAACCCATGTTGTTGTATCATGTTTGGTTTTTAATGTCCACTCTGTTGGCATCGTCCCCGTATATCGTTTGTAATTCGTCTCGTTCTGTCTTGCGTGTTTGTCAAGGGACATGTTCGTGTAATGTCCTGTGCGAGCAAAATCTATTGTGGTGTCGCTGAAATTACGCATCATTAAACAGATAATAGGGCAAAAACTTATTATACCCCTGTAAGTAAATAAGTTGATTGGCTGTCACGGTATTTTTCGTTGCAGCACCACCACGCCCATAATCGTGAGACAGAAGCCTCTCATTAAAACTTCAAAACCCCTGCGGTTTTAATTTTGTTCAAAGATCACCCCCTCACCCCACTAAAAATGTCGAAACAAAAACGTTGATGCTTTTTTCGATGTTCAATGTTCTCCACGGCTTTTTATGATTAAATTAACTAAAGGAAAGAATAATGTAATTATTCAATACACCTGATGATGATTGCTTGTGTTGCAGTCGAAACGTCGTGAGAATTTTATTGTTTTATGTTTTTATTATTTTATTGTTTCCCTTCTACGTGACTTTACCGAAAAAACCAAGAATATGAATCCCTGCAGTCACGAAAGCTTTAAATCAAAATATTATTCAACACAATGTTAATCCGAGGATAATGAATAAAAGAGCTATCAAATAAAAAGCACAACACTAGATTCTAAGCTTTCGTGACTGCAGGAATTACTCTTTGGTTCTTTCGGTAAAGTCACGTAGCAATTAAATTAAATAATAATAGAATACGACGTTTCTATTGCAACACAAGCAACCATCATCAGGTACAAATTAATGAGAAAACAAACATAGTAAACTTGGAAATATAATGCAAAACAACACAGAGTCGGCCAACACAGTCAATACCCCACTTGGTTGATTACATTCTTCCAAAGATTGCTAAATTTGAGAGACAAAACACAGGCACGGAGACACACAGACAGACACACAAGCAGAGAGACTCACACAGAGACAGACACACAGAAAGACCTCGTCTCTGCGTCGAGGCCTTAACTAGAGGGGGGGGGGGCCGCAGAGGGGAAGTTGTGGAATTCCTGCCCATGGCAGATGGACGAGCTGGACAGCTGTTGCATTGCATTACACTTCCTAATTTTACTAAATTTGCTTTCTAGTTTGTTTCACACTTATCTTCTAATTTAGCAATCTTTGGAAGAACGTAATCAATCAGGCTATGCGTTAACTGTGTGCTAACCAAGTGTGTTGCATTGCATTACACTTCCTAATTTGACTAAATTTGCTTTCTACCGTGCTTGTTTATAAGTAGAAGTCCAGTGTCCAGCACGTCCGTCCGATATGGGCAGCAATTCCACAACTTCCCCATCTGCTCTCTACAGTGAGGGAAACAAGTATTTAATCCCCTGCTGATTTTGTACATTTGCCCACTGACAAAGAAATGATACGTCTATAATTTTAATGGTAGGTTTATTTGAACAGAGACAGAATAACAACAAAAAAATCCAGAAAAACATGTCAAAAATGTTATAAATTGATTTGCATGTTAATGAGGGAAATAAGTATTTGACCCCCTCTCAATCAGAAAGATTTCTGGCTCCCAGGTGTCTTTAATACAGGTAACGAGCTGAGATTAGGAGCACACTCTTAAAGGGAGTGCTCCTAATCTCAGCTTGTTACCTGTTTAAAAACACCTGTCCACAGAAGCAATCAGATTCCAAACTCTCCACCATGGCCAAGACCAAAGAGCTCTCCAAGGATGTCAGGGACAAGATTGTAGACCTACACAAGGCTGGAATAGGCTACAAGACCATTGCCAAGCAGCTTGGTGAGAAGGTGACAACAGTTGGTGCGATTATTCGCAAATGGAAGAAACACAAAAGAACTGTCAATCTCCCTCGGCCTGGGGCTCCATGCAAGATCTCACCTCGTGGATTTGCAATGATCATGAGAACGGTGAGGAATCACCCCAGAACTACACGGGAGGATCTTGTCAATGATCTCAAGGTAGCTGGGACCATAGTCACCAAGAAAACAATTGGCAACACACTACGCCGTGAAGGACTGAAATCCTGCAGCGCCCGCAAGGTCCCCCTGCTCAAGAAAGCACATATACATGCCCGTCTGAAGTTTGGCAATGAACATCTGAATGATTCAGAGGACAACTGGGTGAAAGTGTTGTGGTCAGATGAGACCAAAATGGAGCTATTTGGCATCAACTCAACTCGCCGTGTTTGGAGGAGGAATGCTGCCTATGACCCCAAGAACACCATCCCCACCGTCAAACATGGAGGTGGAAACATTATGCTTTGGGGTGTTTTTCTACTAAGGGGACAGGACAACTTCACTGCGTCAAAGGGACGATGGACGGGGCCATGTACCGTCAAATCTTGGGTGCGAACCTCCTTCCCTCAGCCAGGGCATTGAAAATGGGTTGTGGATGGGTATTCCAGCATGACAATGACCCAAAACACACGGCCAAGGCAACAATGGAGTGGCTCAAGAAGAAGCACATTAAGGTCCTGGAGTGGCCTAGCCAATCTCCAGACCTTAATCCCATAGAAAATCTGTGGAGGGAGCTGAAGGTTCGAGTTGCCAAACGTCAGCCTCGAAACCTTAATGACTTGAAGATCTGCAAAGAGTGGGACAAAATCCCTCCTGAGATGTGTGCAAACCTGGTGGCCAACTACAAGAAACGTCTGACCTCTGTGATTGCCAACAAGGGTTTTGCCACCAAGTACTAAGTCATGTTTTGCAGAGGGGCCAAATACTTATTTCCCTCATTAAAATGCAAATCAATTTATAACATTTTTGACATGCGGTTTTCTGGATTTTGTTGTTATTCTGTCTCTCACTGTTCAAATAAACCTACCATTAAAATTATAGACTGATCATTTCTTTGTCAGTAGGCAAACGTACAAAATCATCAGGGGATCAAATACTTTTTTCCATCACTATTTAAGGCCTCGACACAGAGACGTTGTCTTTCTGTGTGCCTGTTTCTCTGTTTGTCTGCGAGTCTCTCTCTGCTTGTCTGTCTGTGTGTCTCCATGTCAGTGTTTCGTCTCTCTCTCAAATTTAGCAATCTTTGAAAGAATGTAATCAACCAGGTTGGGTGTTGACTGTTGTGTTAGCCGACTGTGTTGTATTGCATTATATTTCCAAGTTTACTGTTTGTTTTCTCATTAATTTGTACCTGATGATGGTTGCTTGTGTTGCAATCGAAACGTCGTATTCTATTGTTTAATTTTTACGTGACTTTACCGAAAGAACCAGGGAGTAAGCACAACACTGTTGAAGCAGGTTCAACTCAACTACATTGTCTAAATACAGCATCTTAACATGCCTACTGATTTATCCAACATGAATGCTATGCTGCAGAACCCCGATTATGGTTATTTATTTTTTTCTTTATAAATCATGACCCATGCATCTTCAGTGGTCATATTGAGACTAGCCTCCACCTCAGTACCACTTTGTAGGGTTAACATCGGTTGGCCTATGGAGAGATTCGTACTCGCTATAGTAATGGTCACTGCGACTGTGCCATAAAGGGATGACAACTGCCCCATGCTCCTAGGAGACCGTTTGAAATCAACATCTGTTTGGACAAGTAAATATTTCTGATGAGAAAATATGAACTTCGAGTCACAAGACGATTATTCTTGAACATTTATTACACGTTTGCAATGTGTTTCATAAAAAAAAAAAAGTTCAAATAACAGTACTATCCCCCTGATGCGAAGTACACATTAAGGTAAAGCCAATAGAAACCTGCTCGTGCAACACCCCGTAAACAAAGCAACTTCTCATCCGATATTCTCTTATCCAGTTGGCTGGTTTTATGTGAAACTTATGTTTCAAAACTACATTTGACATTTCGACTGGCTCTGCCTAATATATACAGGCATGAAAAATGCATTCACGTGATCAACAGCGAACCGGGGGAAGCACACATTACAAACATCTCTACCGGACCGACCGATTATGTATTTATTCTGGGCAAAGGACTACCAGGTGAAAAACCATCAAGGGGACGTGTAACAGCGATGCCTGCCTAGGCGATCGAAGCCAGGTAATCCTTCACTTCTGGGGGGGTCAGGCGACGGAAGCCGTTTTCATTGCAGATGCCGATCTCGATGTTATCTTCCGTCATCTGTCCCTCGAAGCTCTCCTAAATGCACAAGCAGACAAGTATTAACACAGTATCTGCTGTACTGCCCTATCACCAAATCACTCGGAATGGACCAGATCTCATCAGAGCTCATCAGAGCTCAGCACATCAGCAGGGTTGAGCATGGAGAGTGCTTCCATGAGCAACCACCATGTATAAAGCAGGTGTTATAGGCTGTGGGGCTAAGTTGTGGGCAGTGCAGTGAAATCTATTGTTTGTACAGTACGTCCATGCATCCCGCTTTTACAATTTTGACAAACACTACCTTACAACTGAAAAATCTCGAGAAAGTCTGGCAACAGTCTTTCAATTTCAGCAACGTGACGAACATTCTAACTTCATATTACAACAATAGTTATGAGGCAGTGACGATTAACGTGCATTTCTTAAGGGAAGTTTAGAAATGAATGTTTCAGACCTTCAGTGTCAGGATGGCAGTGTGGACAGCATCTTCCAGCTCAAGGTCTTCATTGTACCTGCAGAGGTCAGTGTTCGAGTTCATGAGGACATTTCTGTGCATCAGTGTGTGTGATTTATCACATATAAGCTCTGAATCTCAATTACAACTAATATTTGACAATTATGACGTACAAATTCCTTGCACAAGCCAAAGAGTGAATAACTCAACCACTGCTTACCTTTTCTCTAGGAATGTCTTTCCATTGACGTAGTTCTTTCCCATTGCAGTTGCTTTCCATGCAAAATATGCTCCCTATGCAAAGAAAAGGAACACATCACCAGTCATATTTTTTAGACAAACTCATCCTCAATGTATCCAATGGTTCGATTTTGGGATGCTCACACAACCAAAAGGTATGCAAATGTTGTCTTAGGGCGCCCCCCATCGCTTCAATGGAAACATTGACCTCAATGGCTGCAATCAGATCACCCGGAATGCACTCACCTAATTATGTCTGATCTAGGAAACTAAGCAGGTTCGAGTATGGCTTGTACTTGGATAGTAAACCCCATTCAAATACCAAATAGGTGGTACAAAAATATACTTTTTACTCTTTCGGGAATATTGAATGTCACCTCCGAATTTTGAATGTATGTTCTCTGGATCTTATTTACTCCCACGTGCGAAATATTCCTAAATGAAATTGACAAAACACTTCAATGTTTGAGATTATATGAGAATCTTACTCAGCATTATTGCCCACGGGATGTTTTATTGTGCAAAATAGAGTGACCTACGGAAGGGTCAGCTTGGAAGAGATAGGGTTTGCCCTCGTCCCAGCCAGCGATCAGCAGGGACACCCCAAATGGACGGACACCACTGAAAAAAAACCCCCACAATTCTCATTTTATTGCAAAGATACAACAGATGCAACGATTGAGTATATTTACAGGCATTTGTCAATCTGCTGGTGAAGGTGGTTGTCTGACTATACTTTGCCATGCTAATCAGTGCAAGTTGGTAAAGGGAGGGCCTAGGGCCATTTCTGATATCACTTGCGACTAAATGTTATCCATGGCTGGGAATTGAACTCAAGACAACCGGGTTCATATTGCAGTGCATGAACTACTACGCCACCGCTCCATCCTAGCAATGAAGTTTAACGCGAATTAATATAAACATAACTGTCCATACTCTGGTTCTTTCGGTAAAGTCACGTAGGTATAAACTGTCCAATTTATAGAAACATAATAATAAAACGTAAAAATCTAATACAATTATGTCTAATTTGTCATCAATTATACGTCCTCATGAACCGCACCTAGCTTCTAGAACCCCTGGCAACAGGGACCTCACCCAGACTGCGTGTACTCCTGCATCAGGGAGGCGACTCGCTGCACCAGCTGGGCGGTGGGAATCTGCTCCTGGTACGTCAGGTAATAATTCTGCGCCTGTTTTCGTGCCTTCCGGATCAGCACCCTAACAGCACGCAGAGAAGCCTTGAGTACTTTGCACTCACACAAAATCTCAGACATAAGCCTCAAACAGGTAACATTGTTAGCATTGAAACGGTTGTATTTAAAAAATATGCACAACATTAAATGCATGTTTTGTTAAGAACTTCCCACAGCAAGAAAATTACAATTCATCAATGTGTCACTGAACAATGGACATCTTTAAAATAGCTTAAAGAAAACTGTAAATACTCGGCAGGTAACAGAGCTTTAAATAATTGAATAAAATTGTATGTTATTTTAATGATACATCGATAACATTGTACATGAAAATCTCTCTGTATATTTTATAATAATTTCACATTAACCTTTTGGACACTTAATTCTACAAGCACAACGAATAGAAAAAAATGTTGACTCAAACAGCATCCCTGTCATGCGTTTAAGAATAGATGTATCTATTAGCAAAAATACACTAGTTATTGCATTTCCGTTCATAAAATGAACAATGTAAAATGAAAAAATGTAGAAAATCTACAAACCAGATCATAAAAAATTCAATCGAATCGCGACCCCAAATTCTGAAAATCAAAAATAACTGGCAGGGTGAAATGTTGCATGTCCAGTTAGTACACAACCAGGCTCAGTTGTCACATCTCCTAACCAATAGGGTGTCCCACCTGCAGTCGGGCCCCATGCCGCTGTACACCATGCCAATGTTCTTGGTGATAGGCTCCACCTTGTGAACGCTCTGCTCATCATACAGGATGGACTTTTGTTTTTTCTCTGTGGCCAGAACCACGCCATTTAATGCTGCAAAAATATAACCAGAGGGAAATTAAAATAGCAGTCTTCTTAAATGCAAACACACATAATACAAACATGCTGTATATTTAAGACATGCAAAAAAATTGAGCCTTTAGAAAATTCACTGTTGGACTAAGGCCTCCCGATGCTGCCCTGGTCATGGGGGATATTTGGCCATACTTTTTACGATGCTAGTGTAGATTGGCAAAGAGGATGCCCAGGACTGGTTTAGACGTTACTCATCAGTGGCGGACAGGCATGGCTAGAAATACAACAGCCCTTATGCTAATCACTGTGCCGCCGAATTAATTAAATTTCGACTTAAAGCTTTCATTACTGCAGGGATTCATATTCTTGGTTCTTTCGGTAAAGTGACGTGACGTTACCGAAAGAACCAAGAATATAATTCAATAAAGTTATATTTATTCGGGGTGAATACTGTGGTAACAATATCTCTATATATATATAAAAAAGGGAAATTTGTGATTATGTGTCTGTTCAAAATGTTTAGCGTACTTCCCGACATGCAACAAACTTGAAATTTGCCATGTGGGTAGTTTCCAGAATGTACACCATGCAAAAAGTATAAAATATACTTTTGTATTTTTTGGGGGGGGGCGCAATAATGGATATATTCTGCACGGCAAGTGAGCTGTGACGTCACATCTGTGATGTCACCCGCATGCTGAAGTGTTACACTGTGTGCCTGCTCATGTCGCGCATCCGCACTCCCCAACCTCGGCGAGTAAAGTGCCATACAAATGTGTTGCAGGTCTAAGGCGTTCTTCGCGCACCATTGCTTTATTATTTCAGTCGTTTACTGCCGTACGCACCCTGAAAGTTGTGTGTCTGCAGTAAGCGCGTGTATGTGTACCTATGGACGCGCGCACGCGTGTGTGTGTGGGGGGAACGGTAGTGTCGTGGTTAGCGCGCTGTCTGTGTGTGTGTGTGGGGGGAACAGTAGCGTTGTGGTTAGCGCGCTGCGCTACGAACCCAGCGACCCGAGTTCGATTCCCGCTCACGGCCACCACGGTGGCGATTATTTGGACTGGTGCTGGGCCTCCCCTAGGTCGACTTAGCCTCAAACGCGTAATTGGTGTGGTGTGTGAACATCGCCACTGGGGAGACAAAGGCGGCCGGGCGTGGTGAATCCAAGTCCCGGGCGAAGCCGGGTAAGTAGTTTGTAATATAATAGCTAGTTCTAATGCTAGCTCTCAGGCACACTAAGATTGCAAGTTTCAAGTATATGTCTAGAGGCGCACACACAACACTTTTCAATGATAAACCCTGCACAGTTTAACAAAATACGCTGCAACAAATCTGTCCAACAACCGACTGAGACAACTGCAAATCATACAGCTTAATAACCACGCATTCCACACTGCCTTGACACGCGGGTTTGTTTTGAGTGCAGCAACATAATTTTGTATACCTTTGATTCCAACAGACGGAGCTCCAGCTGCGACAGCAGCGAGGGCATACTCGATCTGTACGAGTTTGCCCGATGGGCTGTGGGGGACATGGAGAGAACAGGTTGGAACGTATATTTCTGTAACCAAGCAGGATCATTATCTTTTTTATATATAAGCCATGAGATCCCCACTGCTGCAAGAGAACATTCCCCGATGTCTTGCCACCTCCATCCAGTGTACACGTAAAGCACATACATGCATGCATATCCCTTTTGTCAAATCCACGTCTGAATGAGGGCCTCTCCACGCCGTGCGGACAGCTGGACTTATTGGAACATTTTTCTACATGCTCTCAAGTGTGGTTTAAGGCAGCGAGCATAGATGCCGGAGCATATTATTGTACGATGGATTGTGTTGTACTGCCCTCTGCCGACTATATGTTTCCGCAGCCCTGTTGGTGACCCATTCAAATCCTCTCCACGCTCAACCCCCAGCTTCGCTTTCGAGATGTGGCATTGAGTGCAGGCCAATCCAGTATGCTCCTCTAAATCCTGTCCCATATCATTTCCTACCTCTCGATTTCCCTCAATCAGCCTCCATTCCGTAGTATTTTGTTCCCTTTATGTAATGTCCTGACTAGATGTCCTGCCCAACACCATTTGATCACTACTTACTCCAAGCTGAAAACCATAGGCGAGCAGTCTTAACCCTTCACGTCAATGCTATAAAAGGGGTTAACGCTGCTGTCAAACAATGGTCCGGAAGGCTGATAGACCGATGGCCTACAAATTTAGTTTAAGTGGCGATAGATTAACGTCCATATACAACGCCATTAACCTTTGACCGTATCGTCTTAAGAGTCAAATGTGCTTTGAAACGTCACGTAATTGCTAGCAGGGTGCGTAAGACCGCCTTGTAGGAGACGGGATGCATCGATGTTTAAAAATCAGCCATCAGTGTACATTAACATCGCAGGCCCCCACAAGAGATAGCGCCGGCCTCGGCGAAGCCTTCACCCGGCAGTGGATAGATCGTAGCGGACGACGACGAGACCACGGCCTGGCTCCACGAGCCTCAAAGCTCTCCCCCATCTAACAGGGGCGCCCACACACGGGGGGTTGAACCCTAAGAATCCTATCCGACGTGAGTCGGCAAAACGATTTGCCTAGGCCGCAGCGATAAAAACACACAATCGCCGCCGAAGCGGAGGCCCATGGCTAGCTGCTCCGCAACTGTACAAGAGGTGGTCGTGGTCGCCTCCTCCTTCTGCCTTCTCGCCTCTTTCTCTCCACACCCGCGTCCACCTCCTCACCTGAACGTGGTGAGGGAGAAACTGTACGTCGTCATCTTAACCCCTTGCTACCGCCGACGACGCGCGTCGTGCCTTTTTTTGTTGCGCTCGCAAAAGCGGAGGAGCGCGCTGATTGGACGGGGGTGCTGCACGAGGCGGGGTTCTTTGTCGCTGGCCCGCGGCGCGATTGGTCGGATGCTTGTAGTTAACGCGCCCACCCCCCACCCGTGTCGACCAACGGGCGAACGTTTTAGAACTGTTGCGACCCGCGGCGGCCATCTTACGTAGGGGGGGGGGGAAATCATTTTCAATGTTAACCGTTTGCAGGGTTTTTCACGTTGTACGGGGTATTTTCAAACGTCAACCCAACATATAGAGGGAAGTATAAACACGAAAGCAAATCGACGAAATGTTTATATAATGTAAACAGTCAATAATACTGGTTAAAACTTGATTTGAAGCTTTCGAGACTGCAGGAATTACTCTTTGGTTCTTTGACTTTACCGAAAGAACCAAAGAGTAATATTGATTAAGTTATACATTAATAAACCTGCTGCACTCAACGTTATCCCCGTCAGAAGCGACGCAAGGGCCTCCCTAGGAAAGATGGCCGCCTTCAAGTGCTGCAACGGTGGCGTCACGCGCCGCCGCATCACGTGCCCAGGGTAGACCAATCAGGAGCGTGCGGCGTGCAGGAGCTCGCACGTGGAGGAGGTGGGAGAAGTCGCTGCGGTCTCCCAGCTCCTGGGATGGCGATGGCGGGGTTCCTGCAGCGGGTCGCCTCGTCCCTCCTCTGCGTGGAAGCAAGGCTCCTGCAGATGCTCGGGCTTCACCACCCACCCGGTGCGGCGAGCTCGCCTGCTGTCCTCTCACTCTTGTTGTTTGCAGGAGTGCTTCAGCGGGCGCGTGTTTGATCGGTACCGCTGTCGTTATCGATCATCATCGTTGTTGTCAGTCGTGGTCAGAAGTCCAAGTGATGTCTCGCTCAAATTAATATCGAGGCGGTGTTCATCCTGTTTTCAGCCCAGTGCCAGTGGTGGATATTCCAGGTTCACTGTGGAGGAGGCAAGTTTTATCGAAAGGACAACCACTATTGACTTCCCCTCAAAGTGGTACTGCACTGTTTTGCCCGAGTCAACCCCCAACCAGGATTCGAAGTTTTGAACTCGCGTAACATGATTTTAGAGCCACTCGCTCTACCGCTGAGCCACCAGGCCAGGAATATTCGACTAATATTAAAGCGCGCTGCAATGCTTAACTCGAGATCAATATGCAGCTGTCACCCACCGGCGCTACTACCAATATCACCGCCATAATCATCACCACTTATGCGATTACTACCACCATTATTACAACCAGTCAATATCAGTCAGCACACACGAGAGTGATCGGAATCATCATCTAACATTAACCCTGATACCGGCTTGTCCTTATTGGCTCTGCCGGGCGGCAGCCTCCTCGCTCGGTAGGGCTTCTATCACCACGGCTAAGGCCTGCGTGACCTTGGCTCGAGTATTAGCTACTTCTCTGCACAGGGACCTTTATTTAAAAGCAGGTTAATTGCCTTTTTGGGGAAGGAGACCACTGTAAAACACTCATTGACATCTCTGTAGATTGGGAGTGGTATTGTTTGCACACATTGTGAGTGCAGTATATATTGCTCACGAGTTCGGAGCGAATGCATGTACATTGTATGGTGTTGGCGACGTTATTGGTGGTGCACATGTACAGCCCTTGTCAATCCATTGCTGGATCAGAGTATCCTCACGCCTTGCGGGTCGTGGGAGTTATTTGAACGTACTTTTATCACGTTGTTCAGTGCAGGATGGTGAAAACAGGAATCTAGACGTGACAGCGTAAAATCACAGTACAGTACAATAATTGATGTTGCAAGAATGCCCTCTGCTGCCCACAACGTAGCCTCGCAGTAGCCTGCAATGAATGTATTGTGCGTGGTGGTCACAAAACTAGCTAAAACTTCAACATACTGTGTGGGTGTGTATTGAAATAATAACTTTTGTTCATCTCTCCAGGTACGGATAAAATATGGTACAAATTCATCAACCTATGTCTTCCGAGCAAACATCGAATAGCATTTGTTTAAACAAACTCTGGACCCGTTTCAACATTCTAGATTTCATAATAGTACACACACTGGACAGGAAGTACAAGATCAATTGGCTCGGATAATGGGCATGCATAATGTACGTTGACTCATTAATCTCCCCCCCCCCACTTTTCGCAAGAAGAGCGTACAAATATTGTCATCACATCTACGCCTCAATAAGAGGAACGAAACAGTTAGACTTCTCCACAAATCTGGCTGTCGCCTGATGAAGCTAGTTGTAATTACTGGCGAAACGTCGTACTCAGATTGTAAATGTTGTGGCTTGGCTCTCCAACACACCGGTGTGCTGTACAAGTGACGAATTGGTATGTTCTGTTTACGTGACAACCCTTATTCATTGGCTGTGTTGGATGGTGGCGGGTTTAACGACATTTACGGGATCTAACACAAAAAAACGGTATTATGGATGATATTGGTCCGCGAAAGCCTACGTGTTAAACATTCTAGATTTCATTACCATTCAGCCTTGATAAACACTGCTGGGTTGTCAGATGTTATTGGTAATGGCACGCCACCTTCAGGATGAGGCCCTGTTCATCAAAAAAGTCGTACTGTATTGTATTACACATTATATAAACTCTTAAGACATATGGATCGTCAGCCATAGCCCATCATCAACTTGATGGATGTCATCGTAATTCCTTTAGGTCTTGGACAGCAACAATCCATCTTGCTCTTCCACCCAAATCGATTTAATTACTCCATGTCCACGGTGTCACTACAATAGGCACTTGCAGTGACTGAATTGGGCTAAAATTAGAAGCAGTTGTCTGGTTGAAAATAATCCCCTTGAGTACCTTGTTAGTAGACCTAAGATGTTTTCAGCGATTAATAAGTATAATTTGTGGGCCATTTTTATAAAGTGGTAGACCGAATGTGGCTGCGAGCCACGTGATGTGAAGCTGCAGGCCACGTCCAGCCTGTGGGATATATATTCGCCACCCCTGGTATATTCAAACACAACAAAGGTCATTATGTTTGTATGAACATTAAGGATTAATTGGTTGATGGTGCCGACCATTGTGTAACCTCACCTTGTGGGCCCTCAGCTCCGGTGCTCGTGTTTCCCGCGCTGTCCGGCCTGGAGCAAGACTCGGAACCGGCGATCTCGTTCCTCGATGACCCCTTCCTGTGGATGGCAGCGCCCAAGAACCGCCGCACCATCGAGCGCAACCGCGATCGGCGCCGCAACCCTCAGAAGATGATCAAGTTCAGGGTGAGCTTGCGTGATGTGCAGATAAGCCCAAAGTACCGCAGTTGTGACACGAATGTGAAAAGTAAAATTCTAATGTGAAATTGAAGGGCTGTGTGTTGTCTTGCTGTGGTCTGGGACCGTTGTTGCCTTCCCCAAGTTTGCATTTATTATTGAAAAATCAGTAGGAATTGATATTTTATAAATTTGTACTTGTATACTCTATTTTACGTATTTGTTTTAGTGATTTGCTTCCTTTTCCTATACTTTGCACTCCAATCGTGTTTTGTATTGTTTGTTATTTATCTTTCTGACCTGCCCCTACTGAACATCTGTGAAAAAGAGCTTCATAGATCATCGGATTTCTCCAGGTTAAATAAAAATTCTGAAATAAGCGTATTTTAATACTCATTTCCGAATTTGGGGCGTGATCGCAATATATTTTTCATATATTGGCGTTTCCTCTCAGTCATTTCTTTCCACAGAAACCACTTTCCGGTGACATCCATGACCATCCGTGTGTCTGTGTCCCATCCCACAGACCAACGTGGACATGTGCCCCGAGTGCGGGAATCTGAAGCTGAAGCACGTGCTCTGCGGATTCTGCTACGATCGCGTGATGGATGAGACACGTAAAATCCGTGCGCTCATGGCAGCACAGGAGGGTGGGCCACTCCGTGCACCTGCCATGGAGACGGTGGTGGTGTACGAGGGCGAGAACACCTCGGAGACTGACGCTGGGAAGCGAATCCTGGAAACCAAGCGCAAGCGTCCTAATTGGTTTACAATGCACTGAGCGGGCAACACAAGGGTGGATAGATGGTCATAGCTCAAGGCAGGCGTTTTGAATTTTTTTAAAAATTCTTTATTCTGCAATGGGCGGCAGGAGTGTTGGGTCGGATGGGAATCAGTGGAGGAGTGTGGTTGGCGTGGGCCCTAGTGCAATTATGTCCCTGTCTAAGTTTCACCGTCAAAGCCCATCACCCCTTGAGCAGTTGTACCACCTCCATACTTGACTGCTATGCCAGTTGTGGTAACTACTGCCCTTTAAAGAAACCATCTCACCAGTTGGGACTTGTATCTGCCACAAAATAACAGCTGGTGATTTGCAGTTTGGGTGTGATAGATGCCAGGACATAAATTCATGCCAAATCTGCAATTGTCTTGTGTGAGACTGTAAGAGGATGTGATGTGTTTTTTATACCGATGCTTTAAAGTTGGTGATATGTATAAATATTATACAGTAAACTAAACAAATATCCACACAGTTTTGTTGACAAATGACTTGGATTATTTTATTACACTGTCAAAATACTTTTCATTCCATCGTATACATTACATAGACAACTGTTGTTACAAACATTAATTTGGTTACTATTCTAAAGCTTCTTGGTAGATCATTTTTACAGCATTGTCAAAGCCTGTCAGCTATGATCATGATGAGCTTCCCCAAAAATGCCATATCTGGAAATGTAATTATACCACCCCAAATTGATACAGATTTAATATGCCAAGTGACTGGTGTGGTAAGTTGGCCATAAAACCTCCATAATTGAATAAAACTAAAGTGCTTATACAACTCAAAGCCATTGATAAAATGATAATTACCTGAGGTAGTATTATATTACTGCACACTAAATGATCAACATAAAGAAACAGCCACGGACGTTAAGTTTGTATCCCAAAAATCTGCGCTTAATGGAGTATAATCACTAATGCCCTGATTTTGCAGTGTCTATGTTGTCGAACACCAATGGTTTGCATCTATACTCGGAGTCTAAAGTGGGTTTCTCAAACATGATTCTTGACACCACAGCATGTATGTTCAATTTTACCAATTTATCATTGGTACAAATTAACTGGTTACAAGCTGCACACCTAATGATTGTGAAAAACATCCGTTTATATTAAGAGATTACATTCATTCCAACTAATGGCATGATTGAAAATAATTATAAATATGCACAAATTAACCAATTCTTCCACGTGCGATTGAATGCATTTGTCATGGAATTAAATTGAGGGTGAATAATTAAATGCTGAATGGAATTTGCAGTTTAGTGGGTCAAAGTGTGAACATGGTTAGATAGACAAATGGAGGTTTGCTCTAATCTGAGCTGGTAGTGGTCAGGTTGGTGCAGCATGCACCACAACAGCATTGAGCTGAACTTGAGTTTGAGATCATCGCTTGAACAGCAGGAGCAGACAAGTTTGTGAGCAGAGCCTCCAAGGAAGGAAGTCTTTATTGTTGGCATTGGTGACTGCTCAAAATTCAAGTGTGACACTTGTACCATATTCAGCTGTGTTCAGTCAGAAAGTGCTCTGTAGAGGCAATGTGGGAAACCTAAAACGGCTCAAAGCATCACATGGAGTTTCCATGGGCATAAATACATCGTAGACAATTCATACACACCCTCCTTGCTCCCCCTCCCCCAGAGAGTTTATCGACCCAATTTGGGGTCGTGGTCACCTTTACATTTTTATGCCTCGTGTTGATCAAAATGAAGCATTAGTTGAAATGTGACTGACAGCTTATAAAAAATTCTCACGCACAATTCTATGTGTGCATCTTGAGGGTAACCATCGATTTCACCGTCACATGCTGGACCAATAGTGTACTAATGCCAATTCGCATGCCAGTGCTGGGGTGGCACAATCGCACGACGGCAAACGGCAAAGTATGGTTAAACGAGGCGAGAGTGGTCAGAGTTCGACGCAAAGGACACCCAGGAGGTGCGGGATGGTGTTGAGCAGCAGCAGCAGCATCCACAGAGTGGCGGTCAAGCCCGGTGAAAAGCTGGGACATGCATCTGTGGCAAAGGAGAGCAACGCAATGGTGTGATCAGCAACAACCTCTTACTAATGGAACGCATACATCCTGTTGTCAAATCCACTTTTGAATGATTACCTCACGCCAAGTGGTTTGCGGGAAGCATAGACGTAGAGTAAAGCAATAGATTTTGCAGCACTGCCCCCTTTGCTGCCCACCAAGTAAATGAAAATTTAAGTGCTGCAATTTGCCACAGTGCTCCGTAACAGACTTCCATCATGCACCTGTCTCCAGCTGGCGTGTGGTGCCGGGCCTTGGCTCCATGTCAGGCGGGCAGGCTGGGCACACCTCGGAGCATGGCGGGCACCGCAGGCTGCCCACATGCAGCCACTGCCCAGCACGAACTGCCACGCGGATGGCCTGGCCAGCGTGGCTGCACGGGAAGTCCACGCCACCAATCCATACGGTGACGCCCCCCTTCGGTGAGCATGTCACCTGCGGGAGATCCGAATGGATTGCTCGACAGTGTGTTTCTTGGGTTGCATGTTCAGATATTGGATATGCAGTTCCTGAAGAAGCTCCCAGCATATGGAGCGAAATGTCGGACATCTCGCCGAATAACTCGGGGTATAACCCAACAACACATCGGAGAGCTAGACAGCACAATTATGAAAACCTACGCGGTATATTAATCCATTCGAGGTCTTCTGACACGAGGCGCAAAGCACAATTGAGATCAAATCGGGGAAAAAAATGTTTAAGTAGTGTGAAGCGATTGGAGGATCAGTGGTGATGGCATGTATCGGAAGTATAGGAGAGCAGGCTGCGTGCTACACAAGGTTGCGTGCTAGCCATGTCGTACGCGGTAGCAGCCACTGCCCCAGTCCGGGATCGCGCGCTTGTGACCACAGCGTTGCATGTGGAACGTGGAGCCCTGCTCGATGCACGCAGATTCCTGGCCGTACGTCTCCAGGCCGTAGTTCACCCTTTCGTCTGTGGGAACGCAAATGCGAGAACGAGCGCGATGATGCAAACGGTGACTGCTGGCAAGACTTTGGTTGCACGAGTTGCAGCTGTATGCACATATTCAATTCCTAATATTCTCTCCAGCAGTGACTCGATGCCTTAATTAAATAGTGCTCGGTAAAGTCACGTAGGTAAAATAAAAATAAAAGAAAACAATTAAATCACGACGTTTCGGAGGCAACACAAGCTTCCGTCTTCAGGTGGAACAGTCACAGCAAGATCGCTGCATCAAGTGGGGAGGCTCTGAGAGCCTCGAACTTAAATACAGGTTGGGGGGGGGGGAGGAGCCAAGTAAGGGACATTGATGGGGTGCGGGGCTAAGTTAATCCGTCTTTTGTTATGTTGAGGGTGCGGTGGATCCGGTGGGCCACTGCACGGGGGCTCTCAGAGCCTCCCCACTTGATGCAGCGATCTTGCTGTGACTTCCATCTGAAGACGGAAGCTTTTGTTGCCTCCGAAACGTGATTTAATTGTTTTCTTTTATTTTACCTACGTGACTTTACCGAATAAAAAACAAAGAGTATGAATCCTTGCAGTCACGAAAACTTCAAATCTAGATTTAAATAGTGCCCATTTGTTTTTATATCAAACTAGTCCACAGCCAGTCCTACGTACGAGGTGACTTGACACTCATGCGATGACTCATCTGACCCACGCCAGAGGGTCACCACCCGCCTGATGCTCACCACTGACTAGCCATCAACAAGCCTAACCCTCTCCAGTTTTATACATAATAACAGGCCGACAACACGTAGTAGAGCTACACAAGAGGGGATTGGTTGCGGCTGTGCCGTGCTCACCGGGCTGGTTGCGCGGGTTTTGGCACGCTGAACCCCGGCTGAAGGCGCCGCCTTCGTGCCAGCTGAACTCCTGGCTGAAGGGGCAGTAATCGGCGATCTCCACGAGGCCCCCGTACAGCTGCATGTCCGCGGAGCTCACCCCCGGCAGAAAGTCCAAATACTGGCACGGGATGTCCAATGTAACAACATATTTGCGAATTAAAACTAGGATATCATTTACCACGTGAAAACGGAGTTGCGCAGGACATCTATCTAAGAGATTGGATGACCGATAGGCAACAAATGTAAGAGTTTGTTTACAATTATCTTCATATCAAATTGAAAAGATAATTAATAGAGTAATCAAATCCTTAAATAATCAGATATCCCCTCTTCTAGTTGTACCAGCACAGCATTCTGACTTCTGAGCCACCTGGCTCACAAGTCAGACTCGTATAGCAAGCAGTTGCTTATCTCTTACTTTACCAGGGAAAGCCACACCGAATCCGAAGACACCTTTTCATGGGGGTCCTGCATTCTAATGTTTGGCCAACACCAATGAAAATGTGAGTTTTTAGCTATGGGAGGAAACTGGAGATGTCAGAGCAAACCCATTCAGAACATCGGGATAACATACAAACTTCACACGGAAAAGCGCCCCGGTCACGAATCAAACCCATATTTTTATTGCTGCGAGGCACACGTATTACTGCTGAACCACCCTGCCACCCACATCTTTACTCTCTCTGGAGTGAAGCCACTTACCGGACACAAAACAAACGACAGGGAGCGTTGTAAGCGAGACCACCTGGTAGTGTGTGGGCAGCGGGTTGGTGTAGCGCTGCAGGTTGCATAACACGAGGGCTGAGCGTCCGGCCCCGCAGCCCAGGCGCAGCGGGTGGCCGCGCACCTCCTTACAGAACGGAGCCACGTTCAGGCCACTACAAAACAAAAAGTTAAGCATCCGCAGTTTATTTGATGAAAAACCGAGCAGCTGGAATACATTTGCATTCTGATTGCTCCTTGAAGCCATTCCCTGCGAATTAAATTATTAACCATGAAAATGCGACTGCTTTTAACCTTTCTACCTCCCCTGTTTTTTATATTTATGACTGATATTTGGTTTAGTTGTGCGATTTAATTTACAATTAGTAAACATATTGTCCAATTCTACCCTGGTTCTTGTGGGGTTTTTTTCAGAATTACGTTGCTTATGTTTTCACTCTACCTGTATGATCTTTTAAATTAAGCTTGCAATTTAACCCAGGGCATCCTTGCAAATATAACCCACATCTTAAGTTGTCTTAATTGTTGTTTTTCTTTCATTTCCTGGTGAAATATTTTTTTTTATTATTCCTCCAATTCCAGCCAATGCCCTTTTCTGAGTTTCGATTTTGTTGCCTTTTATCTCCATTATAATCATACTGCGCTATCGGCATCATGACACAAGGCGAAGACACTGTGATTTGGAACTCTCACAAAAAGCACATCACCCCTATGTTAGAGAATGGCCTCTAGAAGATGACGTCAGAGAAGTAGTTCTGAGACCCGTACGGTTACCTCATCCACTTAGTTGTCTGCTCGTGAGGTAGGTGCTCACTACGAACCAATTCACTATTTTAGTCCTCAGTTGGAATATATCCTGTGAAGACTAAATTAACATTTGTGTGCAGTCATTGGCAAACGGGCTCATTACACTTGAGAATACTGTTTAAATCACAGATGGCGAAAATCAAAATACCAGAATCTCAGGGGTTGCCTGCTTCAACACTGCATTGTCCCTCCGAGTCTTCCAACTACCTCCCAGTTTTGATTTCTCATGCATATATACACACACACACCCGTAACTCAAAACTACAAAACGAGGTGGCGGCAACATTTGATACGGCGAGCACCTCGTTGGAGGGGCGATGGCTCATGACACCTGCCTTCTGCTTACAATTCCAAACCATAGTTTCAATGGAGGTGTCGGCAGTTATACTGGTAGGAACGAAGTTGTAAACTGAGTGTACCAGCCTGCAATGGATTAATGTGTCCGTCCGTCCGTCCCCTTTCAATACTTTAACGAAGTGAAATCTCGTGCTGTTGGGTGTATAATTTGTCCGAAGAACCCTCAACGATTTTGAGGGCAAAAAGGTGGGAAGACGCTCTCAATTTGCACAATTTTACGTAACAATGTCATAAAATTGCGCAAAATTCCAATGTTCCTACCAGCCCACCCTGCAGGGACCTGTTGTGAAACTAAGTCGCACCTGTCACTGCGATGGTCCATCCAGGCCTTGCAGCTCTGCATGGCAAACACGCAGCCCAGGCCCCTCCCCCAGCCCAGGGCTTCGGCGTGGCTGTAGTTGGCGTGATACCACCTGCTCACGCCAGCAGGAGCAGCAGAATGAGGAGACCGATGGATCGCATAAAACCAAGCAGTCAACCATCAACACTGTAGCGCTGGCCCAGGTGATGAGTCTACATTCGCTTACGTTGCTGTGTTCGACACAACAGCAGGCGGAGGAGCAGCACAACATTGAGCAGAGCACTCGGTGGCTTAAACACCACAATATGGCAGTGGCGCATCTGTCAGTTATCTCAGTCTGGTAACCCATAACACCGGGGCCCATCCCCGAACCTCCTTTCAGCGAGTCAGTCATTTTACATGGCCTCAAAGTGCACCTAGCCTGGCACAAGCATCGTGGCATTGCCACCGCCACTGAGGGATGACTGTTGGCCGTTGTTGTTATTTGACGGTCGAGGTGGGGGAAGTTGGGCAGGACCTCACCCAGTGTCCTCCATGAGCGCCAGCGTGAAGCGCGAGAATATGCGGCGCTGTGTGTGCGAGCCCGTCATTGCTTCATTCTGCAGACACGGCGCACACATGCACACAAAGATCCCTCATATAGCCTTAACAGACTGTTGGGGCAAGTGCTGTTAGTGAGCACCTATGAAGGCCGGAACGGCACACGAGGGGATGGGTGGCCAGCAACCACCCCCGGTCGCCTGTCTCCCTAGTGGTGACTCATTTGAGGCTGAGTCGACCTAAGGGAGGTCCCAGACCAGTTCAGATAATCGTCACTGGTGTTGGCCGTGAGCGGGAATCAAACTCGGGTTGCCGGGTTTGTAGCGCAGCGCTAACCGCGACAATACCTCTCCCCACATTCTGCAGATACAGCACACGTATGCACACACACACAAACACACGAGCAGACACACGTGTGCACACGAGCAGACAAACGTGCACATACGCACACAGATCAAATTCTGACCAATAACGTTCACCGGTGGCTTAAGGATTTTCATAACCGAATCAGCACGCTCAAACTGCATTGAGCTCTTCATCATTGTAAATGTGACAGTCTTGTCGGGTGGTGGAGGGTTTATGACAATAATTTTGGCATCACACTAGCGCGTGGCCCGACCCAAAAACAAATCATCATTATATTGCCTTTGAAAATACACTGCATTTCATCATACCCAAGCTCAGTCGCAAAAAAAGAATTTCCCTCAAAGGACCAAATAAAGTAAGCACGAATATAAGAATGTGTTGTGCTTTGATATTTAATACAAATGTGGGATGCTGCCATGGAGTAATGGTTAGCACCCAAAGGTCACTGGGCAGGTTTCCCAGCATGGCAGTTGAACCAGTGGTGCACGTTTCTTAACCCCCCCCCGAAACTGTCCACCCAGCAGTATTAATGGATATGTTGCATCTTAGAACTAACCACACGGACACGTCTGCTGGAGGCAACGCGTTTATTGTAACAACTCTTAACACTCTATTAAACACTACTCTGTTAAACACTACTCTGTTAAACACTACTCTGTTAAACACTACTCTGACACGAAGGGGTATGGCCCCTTCCACCCGCTAGCCTAAGGGAGAGGACAGCCTCCCTTCTAGCGTGTCATACACACGCAGGGCTACGCGACACGCCGGTCCCTTGCGACAGCGGCTAGGGGAAGACTGGACCGACCGACCCACCCCGAGGTACGGAACCTTTTGGAAGGTCTTAAGAGGGTTTTAATTCTTAAAGAGTCTTAGGAAGTGGTGGGGGCCCCCATCCCCCTCAGTCCCCAGCCCCTGGGGGGTCTGGGGTGTCAACCTCCGGTCACGGAGGGGCGGGGGTTTGACCTTAGGTCAACCCCTACCCACCTCGCTCTCTCTCGGCTGCCCCCTGTCGGCCCGTGAGCGGGGTGGCAAGTCAGCTTCCTACAGCGCCTTATTATGGCACAACAGATTCACTACAGGTAGTCGATTGGCAGGTCGCATATGGTGGGATATAGTGTGGGTAATCCAACCTCTTCCAAGAAGTCTGACCAGCATGGAAGAGTAGGTCAAATACCCTCCTAGAGGGGGCTCTCCAGAGCTCTCCAGAGCCCCCTCTAATGGAGGCCGTTCCGCCAGCAGTGACATGAGCAAGCCATTGCAGGGCTGCACCTTTAATTGAACTTTTTTTTTTTTATCCTGTTGTGGAGGGTTTAAAGTAGAAATCCTTCAGTGAGTCTGCATGAACGTGCGCCGCTCACCTCCAGGAGCCGCTTCTCCCAGTGGTTGAGCTCAGTGCCAGATCCCCCCTGGTTCTCCAGCTCCAGACCCTCGAGACTCAAGCAGCCAAAGTGCTCGCGTGCCTCCTCCTGCACCGCCAGGGACAGCGACAATGATCCTCCTCATTTACTCATGAAAGAGTTCCCGGCCACAGCTAACATTGGTGGAGAGTGATATCTGGACCGGATCGAGGCCTCTCCACCCGGACCGACCCGCACCAACCTGCGTGACGGCGTGGGTAGGCCCTTCCTCTAGCAGCGGATTGATAAAGGGCTGAAAAATATTTATCCAGGATACAATCTACGATTATTGAAACTACCGGTGCAGTGCTGTGGTTTAGGGCCTTGGGAGTCATTGGTACACATCGGTACACAGAAGATGGTGCTTAGAAACTGCCTACAACCAAATCACCCTAAATGCGCCTAATCTTATCAGATCTCCAAAGCTAAGCTATTCACAGGCTAGATCCTGCTTAGCTTTGGAGATCTGATAAGATTAGGCGCATTTAGGGTGATTTGGTTGTAGGCAGTTTCTAAGCGCCATCTTCTGTGTACCGATGTGTACCAATGACTCCCAAGGCCCTAAACCACAGCAAACCCCACTCACTTCCGTATAGGTGTACAATTTATCAGCCGCATTCACATCCTGTTGACTTAGATTTGCACACAAATAAAATGTCGGTGGTACGAGTGGATTTTTCCATGTCGGAAAAAACAGGTGTAATGAGACAGTGGAGCGACTCCTCACCACCACGCGAGGAGTCACGAGGAGGGTGACGAGGTGGGAGAGCTCCCCTCCTCGCACGGCCCAGCGGCGAGAGACACGCCGTGCCACGCGCTCGCTCCACTGGTACAACCCCGTCCTGCGCCAGCAGTACATGGCACACACAACCACCTACCTACCCGCCCTGAGTCACGCCGCACTGCGCACCGCCATCATCATCTCCAACATCAGCCACGATCAATCCCCTGCCGGACCCTAATGGTTAATTGCCAGGCAATGCAGATAATCATCATTATACAACAAGATCAATACACTGCTGAACACGAAATACTTCATTATCATCATCAGCAGAAGCCATGATCAATTACTGATGGATGAAGGCACCCCTAAGCTATTGCCATATCTTACAGTCCTGCGAGGTGATGTGGCAATCCACCTGGTCCTTGCACAAGAGACAATTGATCGATTTCACTGCTCCGTCTCTGTGGTGGACACGTTATCGGGGGCGTTCTCTCCCTGGGCTGTGTTGTTAACTAGCCTTTTATGAAGGACATCTGCCTGGCCGCTTTTGTCTTCCCAGTACGAATGGTGAACACAGCACACCAATTATTCCTGTTAGGGCCGATTTGAACGACGGCAGACACAGCCAAGGTAGTTCAGATGCCACTTAGACACTGGTGTTGCATGCAACGGTCAGGAATAAACAGGATCGTAGCACACTGCGCAAAGCACGACACCACCGTTACCCAGCCACACAGTCAAAACACGAAAATAAAAACAAAATTTACAAAATAATCTACAACCGCTTTGTTCTCTTTCCGCTCGCCAACCAATCTCCAAGCAATTTAGTGCTAACTACAGCAGCACTTTTAAAGAATGCAGTATTTCCTTATTAAAGCTTTGCATATTGTAGCCAAGTCATTTTAAAAACACACAACTTGTTTATGATCCTTTCCAAAATAGCCATGCTTACAAAGAGCTGTAAAGTATTGCTATCTAATGAATACACATCGCAGGTCCGTTGTAAAACCACCTCCATGATTGTTGTGTAAGGAAAGTAGCGAGTTCATCTTCTTTGGTTCTTTCGGTAAAGTCACGTAGAATGAGAATAGGACAGCGCTGTCCTACCAGACAGTCTCGAAAGCTTTAAATCGAAAAGTAGCGAGTGCTAAGAAGTTCTGATCGTGATTCAACAGCCATCATGATTGTTAAGAATTGGACACCGATCCCCTCACAGATCTGTGCCCTGTTTACTTGCGGAGTGAAATTTCCATGATGCGGGATTGGTCGTGGTGTCCCGTGGCACTCACGTATCGTTGAACGGCGGGAGGCCATTTCCGTAACGCGGGGTCAAGGGTTGGCCGTCATCGTCCCGGTAAAACGCGAACAGCCCAGCTGAAAAGCCCTGCTCACCACACCAGCAGAAGCAAGAGATTTTTCTTAAACAAAAACACAATACATTTACGTACAGCCCTTTGCCAATCCACTGGTGGATGAAGGCCTCCTCACGCCTTGTCGGTCGTGGGGGTTGTTTGACCATGCTTCACCACATGGATAGTGCACGAACTACATCAATAAAATAAATATATATTTACTATTAAGAGTAGGCCATTTTGTCAAATTTTTAAACGTAAATTCCTTGTTCGAAGTTACATGTTCCTTGCAAGAGAGATCCGTATAAAACAGTACAAATGTAAATAAATAAATCACCATAATTTCAATGTAAGGATTTATTTCCTTTTCTTTGAAAACAAGTGGCATCTACTATAGAACACAGTAACTAAAAAACTGTTAAACTGAACAACACTGATGAAAAACATAATCCTGTTGACTCCTTAAAAACGTACACTAGCAATTAAGGGTGGAATAAAATAAATGCTTTTTAATCAAACTCTTTAATAAGCCACCAGGCGGTATGGCCAGCATGCAAGAATAAAGATGTTCTGCTCAGCGGGAAAGGAATTACTGTTTGAGTGAAAAATTTAATTCCCAGCATGAACAGTAAGATTTGGTTAAAACTTTCGCACAGACTGCTTACAGGGCAGTTGCTATAACTGCTGATCCCTTCAGACCAGAAATGTGCTCCCCATAGAATCATGCAAAGAATGTGTCATGCGGCGAGTTGTGTCACCAAATGTGTGGTGCCCTATTCGCCGGATTATAATTGTAATCTTCATCATGAAGAAAATTCCAGACGTTTGGAAATTGAGGTACTGTTAGCTTCTTCGAGAAGTAGGTCTCACACCGCAAGAAACCTGGAATGAACACATCATGCGCTGATGTATGTTGCTGTTGTATGTTCCTTAAACCACCGAATTTTAGGTCTACGACAGTTTTTTGACACCTATATTTAAATGCTATTTAAAAGGACCATTGGCTTATTATACTTCCATTTGCTCGTTACAACAAGTCAGGTGTGAGAGTGGTTGCGAAGGTAGTGCATGGTAGTCATTTATCGACGGGTGCCATCTCCTAAGGCTCCTCCCTATTAAAGCCCCCAAGAGAGCCCCCTTTCTAAGTCTTGACAGTAACGGTTGATCCGATGCAACCAGGAAGCTTGCAACTAAACCCCCGGCTTCCTCCTCCACACACGAGCCCAGAGAATCTGGTGGGGCAGGGTCGACCACAGCGAAGTGAGAAGACATATACCCCCAAAGTCCCATAGGCAATGGAGGCAGATTTATCTTCACCCTGGGTCGCACAAAGTTGTTGTTTTATTGCGATTGAGCCCAAGTGAGCTCGGTAAGTGTGGGCTCACCCAGGTGAACATTGAAGACGCGCGCGCTTTGAGGGCGCGTATCATGTCTCACCAGGGCATGGATGACCTCGTGCTTGACAGTGGATAGCATGTCAGGCTGCTCACCCGCGTCCAAAGACACCTTGTCCGGACAAAGGTTAGCATAGCCGGCAATCGGCCTGCAAGGTGGAGACAATGACATACTTCTCATGAATCACGTAGTGGCCAAGAACGCCAAGGGATCAACACAGTCCAGCTATTTCCTACACTGCTCCTGAACAGGGTGGAGTGGCGGCGCAGAGATTCGTACACTGCGCGATGAACCCAGTTTTCAGAGCTTGATTCCTGGTCACGGTTAACATCAGTGGCGAGTTACATCTGAATCGCTCAGGGACCGAGTGTGCAGGTTTCCCCTGTGTGGTATCCCACTGTGCAGGTCCATCGAGATAAATTTGGTGATCAAGGAGATAGATAATGTTGGCTGGTGGTCTCCATCCATTTCCATGTGTAATTTATGGGGCACCCCCCCCCCTTAGCTTGGAGCTCCGATACAGATGTACCCCTTTCCCCACCTCTCGTCAGGCCTGCCCATGGGTGCGAAACCTGTCGAGCTGAGCCTCCAACTGGCAGTATGCCGCGTAGGCCACGACACCCTCCTGCTGGCATCGGTCCGTGCCTAGTGCCGATACGTACAGCACGTAGTCAGCGTCGGGCTCGCCCGGCCCGCCCGCGGGGCCTATGGACCCACAGTTCCGGCCCCCCTCATCGCACACGCGGCATTGCTGGGGGGGGGACATCACAAACACAGTACGCACAGTGTGCACGGAGCACGCACACACACGTGTGTGCGAGTGAGTCAAGTTGATCTAGGGAAGGCCCAAAATAAATCTCACAATTAGATTGTATCTAGTTTCGTTGCTGAGGAACCACAGAAAAGCTGGAAGGCTGGCAGGTGGTGAGCCGGCACGAGCAATTGCGAGTGCCAGCACCAGGAGAAAATCCACGCAAGCAAGAAGCCAACACTATCCCATACAGAAACGACAGATATTTGTCCACACTTTGCTGTACGACATTCTCCTTGAGAGCCAGGGTACGGATATCCATAGAAAGAGAGTTTCACATAGTGTGTGTGATCCACCAACCCTCGTCTCCACAGTGCTGGATTACAGCCGTGCGCCTTGACTGCCCGGCTAGGTTCATATTCCAACGTTACAAATAGATTCTGTAGAATGGATGCAAATTGCATGCAATTTATATATTAATGCTGGCGATGGATTGGAAACGGGGAGCGATATCCCTCGCCACTGACGTTAGTTGTGGCCAGCTACCAAACTCAGATCGCTACGTCCAACGCTCAAGCACATTAACCGCATAGAATTATTCACACACTCCTTCAGCGCGCGGGGAATTTCAGCACGGCTCAAGGCTGGCGCTAGCAGGGGGTGCGACAGAGAGGCTGGGTGAGTGGAGGGAGGTACCTGCAGGTGCTCATCGGGCACCGTGACGGGGCCGCACCGTGTCGTCTCGGCGCACGCGCTCTGGCAGTAGCGGTGGGGGTCCCGGTGCTTCATGAAGTAGTGATTGGTGGCGCAGTATCTGCATGGCGGACAGAGGCGTGGTCCATTACAAGAATGCCCGCTCGATACGGTGCAGGGCTGCACGAGCAGTGGCCGTGCGTTCACAAGTGAAGTCAAGTCTATAGTTATGAATGATTAAAAAAACGCAACATTTTTAGAATTTGCGCCCCAAAAATGATGGCCGGAAAATGAATTCGTTTTACCTCATATGGCAGAATCAGCCTAAAGATAAAATCTGCTCTAAGTCTCATGCCAAGCTCTCAAATATATACAATCCTCATCATCAGTGATCATTTGCCTCCCTCAGAGTATGATGCTCCAGCCGACATAAAGTAGGCGAATCGCACTCCTGATTACTCATACACTGTTACGGTACCTGTTAAGGAGGATTTTGGCTCCTGGGCTCCGAACAAACAAGGCACTTTGGATGTAATCCACTGCCTCAGGGAAAAGCCGCATCTGTCGACAGAGAAGTGTGTTCATTGTGCACGGAGTTTCGAGATTTAAAAAAACTATTCTGTCAATGCTGCGATAAAAACACAGAATCAGTACGTACCTTTATGAAGTCTCGTTTTTCATTTGGAAGACTGGACAATCGGGGAAATAAAGTAAGGTTATTCACAGCCTTTAGCCCAGTTCACACAATCAGCAAATTAGCAGCATTCATGACCGTTACTCAAGAAGCAAACACAGCTCACACTGCACGCTACCAAGTTTACGATTCAAACAGATTTTCATCTGCAGTTGTCCAAAAACAAGAAAAACATGTCAAACACAACAGTGGGTGACCAAGCATGTGGATGAGGATTTGCAGATGTAGTGTAATAGCACCGGCTGGTGTCCAGCAGCGGCAACTGTGGTGGACAGAGTACACACGCCGGCGAGCGTGTGCACGGTGTGTTGGCAGGGCAGAGGAACTGGGGCAAGGGTCACGGAGGACCCCGCCTGGAAGCCCCTGGAACCTGCTAGTGGGTGCGAGAAGGGACGCGCGGCCGGGACGGAGTCAGGCCGCGCTGGTAGCATAAAAGGAGCTGAGAGCGGGAGCTCGAGGCTACCGGTTCTGGGATTGGATTCGTCTCGTCGCCGTCGTCATCGCTGCCGTCTTTGCTCGATATTGCGCTACCTGATAGTTGTTGGCAGTCTTAGTCAGCGCCGTCAGTATTAGACGGCTAGTGTTGTGTATAGGCTAGGCTAAGCGACTGTAGAGAGTGTGCAGGCGAGACCCTGAATGTTATAAATAAAAGGTGCGCCTCCTACAAACCTCGTCTCCGAATCACTGACACTACACGTATTAATTCACTTAAATCACACGGCATCTCAAAGCAACTTAAGGAACATGTAGGAAATATTAAAATAAATATCAGGGCAAAACTTGGGAAAGAGATGGAGGGGAAGAAAAAGGTCACGTTAGTCTTGGCCACCGGCCATCATCCCTTTTAGTGATGTGTCCCAACCAAGCCCACTTAAATGTTCTTAACAGTCAATAGGATGTCTCTAACTTACATAAACGAGCCGATCCCATTGGCAGAATAGCTGCTGGGGCAATACCTGTGATACCCATAGTTATATTGCATTAGTGATTACAAGCCAATGTGTGTTTTGGCATCTACAGCATGGTACTTTTAATCTATAGCATGAACAGACACTCAAATCTCATCGGTGTATGTCTTACTACTGTACATAAACTGTAAATATCCGACACGGCAACTATTCCCGGTGAAGACCGACAGCGACGAGTGCTCTAAAAAGAACTTTCGTAATCGTGCCACAGGTCTCATTTGACGGGGCTAACGTCTGCTCGGCTGGCAGTGCTTGCCTGTCCACGCTAGAGTCGTAGATGAGACGGACTCGCAGACGCTGGGGCCCGGTCGGCTCGGGGCTGCGACGAGACAGCTCGCGCTGCCGCCCAGGCAGGGTCACCCCCCACAGCAGCTACCGCATGGGACCAGGAGATGACCGCACGCACACACACATACATACACAAAAATCCGTCTTACAAAGAGGCAGACTTTCTAACTCTTCATTCATTTGTTTTTGCATTTCCAAATTTGCTCCACGACAGCGCATAATGTACATATGAACGTATTGGCAGTACACCGGTTTGCGGTATTAAAAAAAAAGGAAATTTTCCCCAAAAATGTTTTTATTTTCCCGCGATTCGCAACCCCGGTCAGAAAATCCTGCGGGGTGCCTCAAAATCAGTTCTCGTGATATCAAAGCAGTCTGAAAACGAATGTTATGAGCAGCTGAACACGAAGCTTCACAGTCTGTTACCATGTAGCATCCAGGCCTGATGGCAATTGGCTCCGTGTTCCAAAGGAAGATTTGACTCGTGCCCTAGATTTGGTCGGACAGTTCCTCGATTCATTTCCGGAATCATTTCTTGGCGGACCGTGGCGTCAACAGATTATGACTCGGGTCACGTGTTTGAATGGGAAAGCAGCTGCTGAATCTAAGGAAGCTTCTGATGGAGAGTCTGCAGCTCACTCAAGGGCAAAAGCGACATCGTTAGACTGTTTGATGAAGACCGGTGTGTTATGCTGCACCGGCGCATCGCCAACACGTCCATCTACAACCCTTCAGTCATTCCGCTGCTCAGTGCTGGTTGGTGATGGAGCGGAGAATGTTTGAGCATATTAGAGGATATAGCAATGGAGTTTTCTGCATTGCCTAACATGTAGAACAGCAAGTCCAATGACAACCTGTTTGCGCATCATGGCTGCGCTGCTCAGTGCTGGTTGGTGATGGAGCGGAGAATGTTTGAGCATATTAGAGGATATAGCAATGGAGTTTTCTGCATTGCCTAACATGTAGAACAGCAAGTCCAATGACAACCTGTTTGCGCATCATGGCTGCGCATCCAAGCACTGTTCAGGCTCAATCGTTTTTGGATTAATGGAGGCTCCCTGGGCACGACAGGAAGATATGCCTTGGGTTGGAGTGACATGACAAGCATGCACACATCTTCAATTAGCAAAATGCTCCAATGAGTGCTTTTTATCAAGGTAAAAAAAGTATGTTTATATATACACGCTCTAAATGTAAAAAAAAAACATGTCATTGAAGATACATTTAATGACCATTATTACGGTTATTATTAGGAAATAATAACAATACAGTAATGTACAGCTCTTTGTCAAGCCACTGCTGAATGAAGGCTTCACCATGCCGCCGTTGGTAACGGTGGTTGTTTGACCATACTTCCCCACGTTGGTCAGTCGGGTTGGTTCACGCATAAATCGCCACCGATTGCGCCTGTAAAAATGTCAGTTTGTCCCTTACAACGACGTAGCTGTCAACCCATGCGGTTAACTCGTATTTAACTCGTATTCTTGTACAGGGAAATTGGGTTCTCGGGTCCATGCGGCGCACAGCCGTTTCAATACGGGCAAACTTTTTTTTGTCTATTTGTTTGTGTTTCTCCCTTGTGATGGGACTTTGTAGGATGAACGTTGATATTTAGAAGGGCACGGGGTGACCAATAATGTCTGAATTGGTCTGTAATAAGGTAGGCGCTGATAAGGGGTTGACAGGCTGCAACGAATTTTGATTTAAAGCTTTCGTGACTGCAGTAATTCATATTCTTATTATTTTGTTGTTTCCCTTCAACGTGACTTTACCGAAAGAACTAAGAATAGGCTGCAACGACTTCATTCGTTCCCCACAATTGCACATAGATTTAAATTCGTCTTGCAAAACGACTCAACTCTCGACTCAACAACAGCAGAGGAATGAGAATATCGTTTAGAGTTCTAGGGCACCCCGTTTGATTACGATGGTGATTGTTTCGTCACGTTTTTTTTAAAATTACCAAGTTGTATTTTGACTCATCATCATCATCAGCACCATAGAGAGGTCCTCTGCTTCCATCCGGTCAGAAAATGAGGCAACTCGACTGCGTCAAGAGGCAAATGAACGAATCAAGGTCTGTCACGGACTCACAGACGGCCAAATTAGATGTATTACCATTTTGATTAATTTGTTTTATTATCGCGTAGCACAATCTTACTGACTTCCCCAGGCGGTGGGATGGGTTACTTGGCCATACTTCACCACGTTGTTTTCAGTGCGGTCACTTCTAAAGGCGTACACAAAACGATGACCGTCCATCACATACGGTAGACACGTACACCTATTATATTATTAATCCGCACCACCTTAATAGGTGCTCGCTAACAACTTGCCCCAGGCAGTACGCGGTCCTGTACACGCATCCTAGGCGATGCTGCCCCCTCGTCCTGCACGTGCCGCAATGAAACTGCACTCGCCAACCGGCACTGCAGACCGGCGTGGTGAAGTATAGTCAAATAACCCCCCCCCCCAAACACACACACACCACTGCCTGCAACGGCGTAAAAGGTTGGGGATGCTCTCATCCAGCAGCGGCTGTAACACACACACACAAAGATCCCTCCCTCCGTTATAGCCGTGACAGACTGCAGGGGGCAAGTGCTGTTAGCGAGCACCACCTATGAAGGCCGGCACGGCGCACGAACGAGGGGGTTGGGGTGGCCAGCACCACGCCCGGCCGCCTTTGTCTCCCGAGTGGCGATGTTTACACAGCGCGCCACGTACCGATTTTGAGGCCGTGTCGACCTAGGCCGTTGCCCAGGACCGGTTGTAACACGTACGCATCGCGGGCACTGCTGTTATCACGGACTGCATTGTGTACGTAAAGAGTCAACCGGGCTGGCTGGCTGGCGGCGGGGTGGCAAGCCCTACCTGGTCCCGGCCCGGCACCGCGTGCCTGCACACGTGGCAGCTGCCCGGGCGGATGAAGACGATGGGCAGCAGGTGCAGGACGAGGTAGAGGAGGTGCGTGGGGATGACAGCCATAGGAGGAGGTGGTGGAGGTGCCGTGGAGGTGGGGGGGGAGCGAGCCAGCGAGCAGCAAGGCTCTGGCTGGGGGGGGGGGGGGAAACTCCTTCCTCGAGCATTTAAAGCAGCAAATTAAATAAATTACATCCGTTCCGCCCGCCAGCGCTTGACGCGTTACGGCGGCTCGGAGGCGCCGGAGTTGCTTACAATTGTAGCAAACGAAACGCCGCAGTTGAGCCGTCGGCACGTGAAGGTTGGTCGCCGCGGTGGCTTGGCGCCCTGCGCTCCGAATCTCATGTCGGGCACCTGGAGCGACGACTCCAGCGCCATGGGTGACATCAAAAGTGGGCGAGCGATATGCGAACCGGTCCTGAGCCACCCTCGCCTGCAGGTTGGCTCAGCCTCAAATGAGTATCTGGTGCGGTGTGTAAAGCACCCGCGCGCCGGAGAGGCAAAGGCGACCGGGCGTGGCGTTGTCGGCTCTAATAGGAGCTCGCTAACAGCGTGGGGAGGGCATCGATTGCGTGTGAAGAATTGGTGTCGTTTCGTTTATGTAGGTGGACAAAGCGATTTCCCGTCCACCTCTCAGCGTGGAATACAGTGACGGCTCTGGGAATCCTAAGTCCAGCAGTGGATAAATCGCAGCTGACAACGTGCACCGAAGAGCGAGCATATCCCACGCTCTGACATTCGCAAATCCCACGCCACCTGCTGGCTACTTAGTACGCATTACCCAGTCAACCAGCGCTGTCCTCGAGACAGCCTGATGCCTTCACCTGACGAAGGCCGCTTGTGTTGTGGCCGAAACGTCGTGATTTTTTGTTGTTTTATTTTTTTACCTACGTGACTTTACCGAATAGAACCAAAGAGTACGGGCTGATATAATTGAATTATAAACGTTGTGCAAGTCTCAATCCGCTGCTCGTTGGATTTCTAAACAAACAAAAAATATATGTATCATTGCAAATGAAACCAACGCGTGTGCTCATTGAATGTTTCATCTAGGATTGGGTGGAGGATGGAATAGGACAGAGGTGTTGCCTCCGGGAGACGACACAACGCGTGAATGCAATGCCAGTTGGATTTGTATGCAATGTGAATTTATGTGGCGTAGAAAATGCGACCACATCTCCAGCTGTACAGAAACGTCGCGTGTGTGTGTGTGTTATAGAACGTAGTCAGATGCAGGCAGCCTTAGAGGAAGGAGGGGAAGGTCTTAAGCATGAAATTGGACAGAGGCACGGATGAACAGCACGGGGAGCTGGGGGAAGGGAAGTTACATATCCCACCTATTCTAAGGACAGCTATCAATTAAAACGAAACTATGAACATAGGGATTTAAGTTGTCACAGCCGATTATATCGTTGATTGTTTTAACCCACGGGCCCTTCTGTTGGAAATATTTAACGCATGATGACAAGCGCGGTGCAGTGGTTAACAAACGTTATTATTAACCTGGCCTCCGGATTCCGATTTCTGGTCACGGCTAACGTCAGCGGAATCTGAACCCGGGTTGGCCCCCAATCCCCCCTTCAACCCGCATTGACCAGTGTGGTAAAGTATGGTCAAACGACCCCCACAACCGACATCGGGGAGGGGAGGGTAAGCCTCATCCAGCTGCCAGGAGTGTACAGTGTTTACGGAGGCCTGTAAATTATACTCATACTAGCTTTACTACCCGGCTTCGCCCGGGACTGTCTTGGATTAATGCACGGGCGACACGGAGGGGTTTGGGGGGGGGGGTGCGTGACGTCAGCAGGCACACTGCGTGACGCATCACCATGCGCGGGTCACATGACAGCTGTGACGTCACAGCTCACTTGCCGTGCAAAATATATACAAAAGTGTATTTTTATAATTTTTGCATGGCGTACAGTCTGGAAAGTACCCACGTGGCAAATTTCAGATGAGCGCACAACTTTATCTGTGATGAACGCTGCACTTTTCGTCGTTTTCATGCAGGGGGCGCTGCGCCTCCATCGCATGAACGACGGAGTGGCATGGACAGACGTTCCATCACGTTGGCGTCGATCTGCAGACGGCGGTCTTCTCGCACGGCCAGCAGCTCCGTGTCGCCTTATCTCGATCACGCAATCACAAACAGGTGAAAGTCCGCATCGAACCGAACCCCCCCCCCCTCCCCAAGCAAGGCCATCTTACTTAACGACGAGAGAACATTCACACGAAGTGTCCTTTTCAATGAAGTCTTCCAGATGTAAAATGATGTAAGCTTTTAGTGAAGAAATAAAATGATCTAACCCAAAACACAATACAATTCGAAGATGTTTCATTTTAAATCTTAAAAACGGAGCATCGGGTGCTTGCGTGAATGCGTCGTCCGTGTGCAATTTGTTTTCGTGACATTCCTGGCCGAAGGGCGTAAATGGTTGTGACGGACGCCACTTGATATGAGTGGTCCCACCTGATGACGGTTGCTTGTGTTGCGATCGAAACGTCGTGATCTATTATGTTTCTACCTACGTGACTTTACCCTGCAGTAAAACGAAAGATTCAAATCAAGATCCATCGTGTAGTTTTTTTCTCGTCATTTTTTTTGTAAATCGTCTTGGGACACGATTGCGTTTCGAGGTTTCGGAATTATATACAGAGTATTTGTTGTTCTAAGGGGCCGTCCATAAATGACGTCACGCACCTAGAGGGGGTGGGAGGGGGTCAGACATTTGTGACGATGTGTGACGAGGGGGGGGGAGGCGGGGTTTGAGAAATGTTACGTCACATCAAAATGCGCAACTTTAAATAAATACTCTATGGTTCTTTCGGTAAAGTCACGTAGGTATAAAAGAAATCACGATGTTTCAGGAGCAACACAAGCGTCCATCATCAGGTGGGAAAGCATGGTCTACTGCTGCTGCCTCAGCAGTAGACCATGATGGGCGCTTGTGTTGCGCCCGAAACGTCGTGATTTATTTTATTTTTCTACCTACGTGACTTTACCGAAAGAACCAAAGAGTATGGATTCCTGCAGTCACGAAAGCTTCAAATCAAGATTTAAATAAATATAAACAACACATTTTACTTAATTAAATATAATTGTTAAAACACTAATTTTGAATAATTTTCATTATTAACTTTTTGATTGTTTCAATTTATTAAGGTCACCTTTTATTTTTAGTATAGATTATATGTTAAAATTAAGAACCGGAAATCAAACTACGTCACACTTTTAAAGAGAATAATACTTCGTCAGGAAGTGCAAATCAAATTGTAATGCAGTCGTTATATTAAAAACGCTTGATAGTTTCGAATAAGAATTTTAAAAACGTAAGTACAATTATTCCTGTCATATCAATCAACTGAATTTTAAATCACACACATTTCCTTATTAAATATTAATTTTTAATATCAGTATAAAATTTGTATACTATTGTTACGATAACATTTATGATAATATATAGAGAAAAGTTTTTGGGTACAAAGATATCAAACAGCCATTTTTTTGAGCATGGAGGGATAATGAATCATGCAGTATCTACTAATTATAAAGTAATTTGGCAAGCGTTCAATAGCCAACGCGTTCTTCATTGTTCATTATTCCTCCATGAAA